GCCGGCCATGACCTTAGGTCCTATTTATAAGTTGGTATCTTATTGCCACAAAGAGTCCACCCCATCAGTCTCATGGTCTCTATTTTAACGCTAATGTTGATGAGTTATTTTGTGTTAACCACAAAAGGGAGGGAGTCTAAAGAGACATGTCTGATCTCCCATCCTCTCACAGCTGGGAATACAGTTTTTAAGGTTTTTGCTGGGGTTCCGGTGTCCAAGCAGGCTTGGGATTTATTTTTAGTTTACAATAATACAAAATTTCAAAGAATCTACCCACAGAATACATCTAAGTTACATAGTTGAGAAGAACATAGTTACAATGGAGAAGAGAGCCACACACAATCTGAACCTAGTAATCAAATGACATCATTCTAATGAAACACATTGAAATTGTCTATCACTCAAAAATGAAAAGTATCCTCTGTGATATTCCTGGCAGAGATTCATCTGCTCAATTTAATCATTAAAAAACATTAGACAGGCCTAAATTGAGGGACATTTTATAAATATTCAGCCTATACTCTCAAAGAGTGGCAATGTCTTGGAAGTCAAGTAATGACTGAAGAACTGCTCCACACTGAAGTAGATGAAAGAGATGTGACACCTAGTTGTGGCATGCGATTCTGGATTCTGAACTAAATTATGAGAGGGACAAAAAGCATATATTTTAGGACTTTTGGTAAAACACCAACAGGAACAAGAATTAGAAAGTTCCAATGCATTAATATTGATTTTCTGATCCTAATGGTTTTACTATAGTTATATAAGAGAAGCACATTGTTTTGAGTAAATACATACTAAAATACTTCAACTATCTGGAATCAGGTCAGTATTTACTTTCAAAAGGTTCCGTGTAAAACAGTTATTTATAAGAACAAGCAGTTCTTCTATATACCTGTGATTGTTTTAAAAACAAATAAAGCCAACTGTGTGCTTATATATGCAAAATAAACTAGGCTTTCACAAATGAAGAATCACTGCTGACAATGCAAACTTGAATTGCTCAACATCATTAAGCTTTATGGAAATACAAATTAAAACTTCAATTAGATATTATTATATAACTCATCAGAATGGTTCAAATGAAAAAAGGACAGATCATGTTGTCTGTTGACAAGAAAGTGAAACAATCACAGTCTCATAGAAAAATTAATAAAATAATTCAACCATTTGGATAATCCTTTGGTGGAATTTACTTAAAGTAAATACATGCATATCTAGCAATTGCAGTTGTAGGCATGTACTGAACAGAAATGCAGCAATACCTTGTGATAGCAAAAAGACGTATCGGAATGTACATAACAGCACTATTCAAAACAGCCTCACACTGGAAGCAACACAAATGTTTGAAGCAGTACCATAAAACAATTGTAAAATGCTCATAAAGTGAAACACTAAGAAACAGATAACAACTATTGCTGTGTGCAACAACTTGACTGAATATCACGACACATTAAATGAAAGTACTTGACAGTAAATAAGTACTATGGGATGATTCCATTGATACAAATTCACAAATAAATAAAACTATCATTTTGTTTCTTTTAAAAAAAAAAAGTGTGTGTTGTTTTTTTTGCCAAGATGGCAGATTAGAGGCTTTAACATGCCTCAGCCACTTGGAAATAGCAAAATAGCATATAAAGATCAATTCTGTGAGCTTTAATTCAAGAAAAAAATGTGGGAATTTGCTGAAATAGTGAAACACACTTCAGATCCCAAGTGAAGGAGGTGGGAATGCACGCCCTATGATGGTGTTCAGCTTATCAAAACGGGTGAAGCCTCCAGTATGTAAGAGAGCCAGAGAGTCTCCCTCTCTGAATTTCCTTTCCGCTAGAGATCCAGGCCCCAAACACTGGAACTTACTTGGAGGGAGGCTGGAAAGTGATGAAAGGGAAAGACACCAGGAAAATCTGCAGGTGTTTCCCAGACCCAGAACTGAGAAGACATTGCCATTTTTAATCTGCGCTCCTGGAAAGTCAGTCATTGGTGACCTGGCAGCAGCAGTCACTGCAGGCATTTTAGTCTCAGGACAGAGACAGAAGCACTTGC